TTTTTCAAATTTTGGGCCCTTATATGTAATTATTTCCATTTTGGGCCCTTATTTGTAATTATTTTCATTTTTTGGGCTCTTATACGTATGTAAATTCCCCTTTATTTTAATTTCAAACCTGAACTTAAGTTTTGATCGGTTAAGAATTACAAAGATAGAAAATTTTTGTGACTGCGCTATCTAAAATTTAGGAAGTTTAATTTAAAGAAAAGATTTTTGAAGATTCAGTTATTCTTTAATAAACGAGTTTTAAAGTAAGAATTACAGACTACTTGTAATTTATTGACTAATAATGATCAAGTTAATTTCCAATCCATATATTAAAGATTGCAAAGCCGAGCTTTCTTATCACTCAAAATGTATTTAAAGTTTCGTTGTTTTTGTAACATCGGAATCCATAAAAATTTGATTTCGACTTGCAACGTATATAAATACTATACTGGTTACAAATTATTATACACCTACTTAACATAAATAATATAAAATCTAACAATAATATGATATATTCTATATAATATCGTTTATAGGAATATTAAATTTTTAAATTAGAAACAGAATAAAATTAGTAATGTACTGTACAGTACATTTTTAATCATAATTAATTGTATTAAGAAAATCTTGAAAAAATGGAGAATTTTCAATAGTGGTGCTAACAATAGCATCAATTGCAACTTTAAGTTTTGAATTTGTAAGAGTATTAGACTTTACAAGCTGTCCATCGTAATTCGGATCTCCATTACAAGTAACAGCTAATGTACGATTTGATACAATTTTGGCAACACCAACATTTTTAACAATAGCGATTGTTGTAGGATCCCAAAGATAATAACCAGTAAAGAATGCAGAGTCCCCACCAGGCCATGTTGCACGAATAATTGACAAAAGATTATATACAAACATACCATAAAAGCTTTTGAGCTTTGAGAGTTTGTCGAAAAAAGCAGGATTAAGTGGAGTTTGAATTATAAGATCTAATGGTACCAAAGTAATATCTAAGTTAGATGCAAGCAATTCTTGAGCAGCCACACAATCAAGATAAACATTAAATTCAGCGCGAGTATCATTCGGTACGCTAAATACATTTCCAGGAACATTTAAAGCGCCACCCATCCAGAAAACTTTGTCAATTTTTGCAGTGTAAGTTGGAAATGCACGTAAAAAAGTAGCAATATTGGTTGCTGGACCAGTCATTATAATTGTGGGCTTTTTTCCAGTTTCTTCAATCGTAGAATCAATGAGATAAGCAAGGTCTTTAGTGATATTAAAACCTTTAATAGCGTCATACCATATTCGTTTTGATAACCTAAGCTGTCGATTTAGGCCGTATAGCAAATCTTGATTACGTTTTCCATTAGCTCCTTCTGGGACCGTCTTTTGATAAGTGCAGCCTGGAGTACCTAAGGCATCTGGATTTTTGTCGGTTTCGTATAGGTTATAGTCAGCACCAAGTATAACAGGAAGGTTTTTTCCAGGATAGTTATCATCCACGATATCGATAATGTTCTGAGCCGAAGCTATTAATCAATATTATTATTATCCTGACCTAAAACAGAAAATTTAACAACACTATTAAATACCTGCATGCGAAAATCCGTCACCATTGTAAGTAATACCACGTACGTCGAGTTCCTTAGATTTAAGCACGTAAAGAATCGCAAGAAAATCGTCATTTCCACCATCTACATCAATTATCACTGGAAATTGTTTTTGATGTTTGTCACTAGCGATTGAGAAGCCAATGAGCATAAAGAGAACGATAAAAATAAAGTATATGTTAATCTTCATTTTAAAAATACTGTATCGCTAATAATATTACTCTTGAACATGAAGAAACAAAATAGGCGTAAAGAACATATTTTATCACCTATTTTGAATATGTATAGACCTAAGAGAATCATAAGATATTAATTTACTCAATTAATAAATTTAAGATAGATAATATTGATACACTAAGGTACTGGCTGTAACTATTACATAATACCGTATTTACTCGAAATGGGCGTTATTTCGAAAATTGCATTTCCTTAAAATAGCATAGTTGGTTTCGAAATAACGCACTCTCCACATGGCAAATTAATAATCTGTTGAAATGACGAATTGTGATAACAAGCAGGAACAGATTTTTTAGTCAAAAAATCTGACTTAGATCGGAAAGGCTGAATATAAAAATTAAGAAATACCAGTTTGTTATGCATCACACATATATAACGCATAATTTTTAGAAATTAGACCTTTACCCCGAAATAACGCCCATGCGCATACTCGAAATAACGCGCATCCCCTTGAAATAACGTGCATGTGCGCGTTATTTCGAGTAAATTTAGCTGCCCGATACGAAAGTATCGGAGCAGCTTTTTTGTCTCGAATCGATCACGGGGCTTTTGTAATGGTTTAAG